AAAATAACGAAGAGTTAAAGCAACTCATAAATGCCAATATGTATGCATTCATAATTTTATAGCTAGTGACACCTGTCTGTTTGAGATGGTATTTTGGGACCCAAGTGCAATATTTGGGTCCCTAAGGGCTCAATCAGTTCTAAGCACAGATGTGCCTTAATTGCCCCCAACAAAACATTACTCACAAGAGACCTTCACCTGAAAGGCTTCATTATTTATTATTGTATTCTAATGGGTTAAATCACCATTGGATTCTTACATCTTAGGGACTCAATGGGAAATGTGCATCTCTGTCCCTGCCAACACGTGCCATAGAGTTGCACACACACCTTTCTGCAGTTTCAGCAGAGGTCTTTTCACACAGTCACAGGCCCTGTTTTTTTGTGAATGGCCTGGAGGAGAGGTGAGTGAAGATACAACCATAGCCCTAACATCTGTAAGACCCGCACACTTACCACATGTAGGTGTAAAATAAAGCCAGCTGAAGTTTTTTTTTTTTTCTTTAAGAATTTTATTTGGTACACTGTTTTAATAAAACCCTGCTCTGGGTGTTATTATAAACTGGTGATGGTCAAAATGTAATTTTAAAATGTATTTATTATTTTATGAATACTGTAATTGTATCTACCATTACAGTATTAAATGGAGCCTACAAAGGCATCTTCAGGCTGAAGGCTCTATTTTTGTTAAGGACCCTCCAGCCTGCATGTGATCACTATGCAATAGTGTCAGAGCACAATGAAAACCAGACAAGCGAAAGGTGCTAGTTAAAATATTTAGTAAGAAGAGTGTCCACAGGAGCAAGCAGAATCATAAACAGGAACAAGCCAGAGTCTGGAGCCGGAGTGGGTAGTCGTCCAAGCCAGATCAGGAACACAGATATCAGCGTCGTCAGGAACAGGAGCCAGGAAATAAGCGTTGTCAGGAACAAGCCAAAAGCAGGAGCCATAGGAGCACGCCAGCCAGGATCGGGTCATACACAAAATCAGGATACACAGAGCAGCAGGAATGCACTAGCAGGAAGACCACGCAAGGACAAGGTCAGACTGGACTGAGTGGTTTATATATAGTGAGTGGGTGACATCATCACTCAGAGACAGGAAACGCCCATCTGACTCTCTCAGATGATGATCTCCTGTCTGGCCATAAGAGGGAGCCTGGGAGTAGTGAGCAACATTCCAGAGTCTGCTTAGGCAAAGAATGAAACAGGTGAGTAAAATGGCAGCCAAGCCAGAATGCTGCAAACCAGTAAAGTCAGGGTGGAACCCTGACAAATAGTAGTCATGTGACATATTAAGTACATGATTGGGAATCAATCCTATTGGTTCCTAATCATTAGTGGAGACTAGAGCTGTATGTGACAGCCCAGTCTGCCCAGACAAGCTCACTCATTATTACCTATGTGCTGTCAAAGAGGAATCATAGACTAACATTCCTTCAGGATGGGGCATTGGGCAAGAGAATGCTATTCTACAGACTGCAGGTAGGAAAAGGTAAAACACAAATGCTTAGAATGAAACTTTACTGTTATCTCTATGAAGTAAAATACATGAGTTAACATCACTTAGCATGAGACATATATAAGATGCTAGGTCTACTTTAAGTGTATTTTGTGGAGTGGGTTGGCATACGTAGCCCAATGTAAGTACTGGATGAAAGAAAGTCTGCATTTGCACTGGACATTTAGGGAGCTAAAGTGCACTTGAAGAGGTTGGTAATGTTGGAGGCACGTTTTCCACAATTTTCCAATCTATACAGAATAACATTTTTTTTCTTTAGTACAGGTATGTTTTATAATCCAAGAGATTGCATACTTCATAAAAGAAAACTATACTAGGCTATGTGTTTCAGAAAGCAGTATTTTGTATAATTAGTTTGGTTTATTTTTTATTCCTTTCAATAAATGTGTTTGTTCATTTTTCTAACAAAGAACAGTCAGTATCAAGACCAAACTGTTAACATACTGAATGTGCTAAAGGCAATTAGTATCAATGTAAAATCAATTAGTCTACCAGACAGATGTTTGTCAGCTTATTGAATTGTGTTGTGTGTGTTTGTTTAAAAAAAATCTATAAGATGCACAAGGATCCACTTGACACAAGTTGAGGTGGAAAATATAGTGTGACTAAACTAAGTTGGCATTTGCAATTGAAGAAAGTTACAATATGTGTTTAGGGTCTAGATGTTAAAACCTCCTGATGTTATATGTCCCTGTGTTTCTGCTGTCCAATAGGAATATTTAAGTACAACTTTTGCAGCTCTGCGCTCCAATCAGATTCTTACTTTAAAGGTTTGTGGGTGTCTGTTGCTAAGCAACGTCTGCAGCAAAGTCAGGACTAGAGCCAATATATTGCATTTTTTCAGCTTCAAATTCGAAACTAACTACAGTATATGTATAAATTCATATATAGTCCTAATATAGTCCTAATGGCACTTGATAGAATTCATCTTCTGTAGTTTAGAAGGCCTGTGAATTATCAGAGGAGTTGCATAACAAGAAGCATATTTGGAAACAAAATGCAATATGAGGCTGCCAGACATTGTATGACAGACGGATTTAAGCTCTACTTCCATTCCAATCACATGGCAGAAAAATCATTTCTCCATTTCCTTTTTACTTGGAAACATAAGGTACATCTCTTAAAAATGAGGTGGAACACACAAGTCTTCAACTCTAATGTCAATCTTTAAACAGAAAGAGGAAACAACATTGATATTACGACCCTTATCAACCAATCAGATTCTAAGCTCTGTTTGCTGCAATTTGTAGCATCACAATTTTTTAGCTCTACTTCTTTTTATGTATCTGTTAAGTTGTGTTATAAACCATTTTAGAGTGTCAGCTAAAAAAAATAGAGCTAGATAATGTCAAGCAGTGGAAATTAGTTGGTCCTAGTCAGTCTAGAATTTAAGGGTCTATACATCCAAAAGTGATATTTCAGTTATAGTTACAATGGTGCCATATATTTCTTGGAAATCTGAACTCAAAGCAAGCCTGTGCTTTTCCCATGCCGGGTTTGCTTTACTACCCCTCTCCTTAACAGCACACATTTACCTCTCCTTTGCACTCCCCACTAACATGTAACAGTGCTGAGCCAATTTCTAAGCTCTAGTGCTGTCACCTGAGAGAAAGGAAGTGAGACGCATGCCAAAAGTACCAAGTATTTTTTTATTTTCAGCAGCTGAACAAAGGAGTGAAAGAAAGGTGATTATGAGCTGCTGGGGAGGGAACCTTTCAGCATCAAATTAACCATTTGTTGGGTTAACGGCCCAGTCACACCTTTGCGTGCGTTAATCAATGTATGTTTTGTTTTTTTTTCATTATTATTGGTATTTATTTAGTGCTGACAATTTACGCAGCGCTTTACATAGTGCACAACTGTTTCCAAGTGCCACCCGCACTCCATATGGTCTTACAACTTAAAAGTATTGGTGGTGATCGCATGGATGGCGCCGTGCAAAAATTTGTCAGCGGTCACTGTGTCGCTCTGATGAAGTATCCCGAAACATTAGCCTCTGTTAAGATTACAATTTTTTTCTTTTTTACATTACATCAGGGATTGCAGCATTGCACTGGTTGCTTGTAGAGCTCTCCTTTGCTGAAAGGGTTCAATAATGGGCAATTTTGTTGTTTCTTACAACAACATTTTCCTTAATAACCTTTTAAACATTGAAAATGTTTATTTATAAAGTGACACTATACTCACGAGTTAAATCTGTAAATCGCTTAAAAATGCTCCAAGCTCACTCCCATGATGGACTACAATCTCAGTACAAATTAGTATACTAAACATGAGATTGTAGTCCATCTTGGGAGCGACCAGGGGTGACAAAAGTAGCCACCATGGGGTCAGGGCTTTTCCCCATAGTTCTCCTAAGGGTCACGGGAGAACACAAACTAGCGTTCTCCCGTGACCCAAAGCTCAGTAAAGCACAAGCTACAGCTCGCGCTATACTGAGACGCCACAGCCGGAACGGATCCCGACAATACTGTCTGGATCCACCCGGCTGCGTGAGTGACAGCTGACTCTGCCTATTTAGAGGCAGAGCCAGCTGTGCCTTCCCCCGTCCGTTCCGACAGTCAGCACTGGAGGATCGGACAGCGGAGGGGGGAATCCCTGCAGGGAGCCGTGAGTGACAGTCTGTGCAGCTCCCTGCAGGGATAGATCGAGAAGTGAGCGAGCGACAGTATGTGTTCGCTCACTTCCCAAACTACTGAGCCGACCTGTGACAGTATCATTGTCACAGGTCGCCTCAAATTATGAGGCTGAGTGAAAATCACTTGCCTCTTAATTCTCCTTTAAATGTCACTTTAAATAACTGAATGGAACATTTATTGAAAATACATGGGTTATAACACAACTTAATATCAGAAGTATGTTCAAGGCAAACATTTAAACATCAGCTTTCAACAATTACCTTAGAGTGTTAAAAGCTCAAATCTAGTTGCTTGCTAAGGGCTATGACATACCAAATCCATTTACACCAAGATTTAAAATAATGTTTAAACCAATATACTTGAGTAGATACAGAATTCTATAAATTGTTTAGCCTCAAAAGTGCAATTCTTTAATTTACTGATAATCCGTCACTGAAAGAAGAAATAGACTTGGAAGCTTAGTGGCTGCTATGGGCAACACAGAGAGTTTTCTATTTTAATGTGCAAGTTGTATTAAGGGGTTACCTTTTACACCACTAAGTTGGCCAACAAACTGTAAATAAAAGATGAATAGTCCATATGTTCTACCTAGTTTTCTGTGTTTCATCTCAAAGCAAACCACATTGGTGTTAAAGGGCAGTACCTGGATGTTCTCCTGTGGATCATATTTCAGAATCCTCCTCTTTATGCTATTTCACGGTAAAACTTTCTATTACCCTTTTTCTGTTCTTTCTTCTCTTATCTTGTCCGATCTTCTGGCATGCCACACTTTGCTGGCCTACCTTGCACTGTATCATCACACCATTGCACTGGGACTTTCCTGACCTGTGTCACTCTTCAGCTGTTGCCTGCTATGATTAATACAGTGCGGGCGGTTCAGCCAGCAGTCGTAAGAAAGCGCATCTTCCAGGTACACTATGTTTGCTTGGCTTTCTGGCTCATTTACTGTCTTGCACTCTAAAGAGTTTCTTATTGCCTTAAGCAGTTTGCATTTTGTTTTTGTTTTTTTGCATTTGGTGCCTATGTTGTTTAATGAATTTTGATAAAACAATGATCCTTAACAAGCTGCATGATGATAAAGTGCAATTACTATAACTCATACTCTAATAATTTGCTTTTAACGGTCAAAAGCCCAAGCAATTTACCTACCCATTAACAAAGTCTACTAGAAAAGATGTAGTAATACACAAATATGTAAATAATAATATTAGTGTTAAAGGTTTACATAATAAAAGTGAGACATTAGGGATAGTTCAGTTTCGCTCATTCTGGTTATTTATAAAACATCCCATTTTATACCCAGTTCCCTATCAGATATTAATTAAAAGGCAAAATGTTCTAGTGTTACCAAAATTAGGCATTTATAGATAACATTGTAAAATATACACAGACATACAGTATATCTCTGTGTGCTGCTCATAGCAGCCAGTCAGATTTCAACTGTCATTTGTTGAAAATGAAAGCTAATATCTAGTTTCTTTGTTTAATTGTTATGAGCAATCAAAGCCTTTTTTCTTATTTTTCATATTTTTTCACAGCAGGCCATAGACGGTCGATATAAATATGAATGGATAAAGATGTACAGCATGCAGGGATAGTGTGCAAAATGCATTAACTTATAGCAGCCAATCACTCCTCAATTTCCTTTTGGAGGATCAGTAAACGATTAATTTCTCTGGTCTCTATTGGTTGCTGTACTATGTATATTGATTTTGGATTTTGCATTGCGCAGAGGAGGTGCCACAGGTGTCAATAAAGCTGCTGACAAAATATAATAAAAATAATTGTTTTCTAGACCTACTTTTCCTAATGTATCCCTTCTATGGGTTGTATAACATTCCAAAAGTGATGTCACTGAATGACTGACAATATCCAGGGATTAGCACAGTCACAAGATGATGCATAACTCCTTTGTTGCTGATAAGACCATGTGTTTTGATGGTGAGGCCTGTAACCCAACAGCCCTCCAGATTACCTTGTCACCTAGGAAATGTATTGGTGTAACCTCAGCTGAAAATATTCCACACAGTATGCAGGTATTGGGTTTCTGAAAAAAACACAACATTACTGAAACGCATTCATACTCTTCTGCAGCTCTACAGAACACAGAACATAGTATATAAGCAGCAATAGTGTATACAAAACAAAGCATAGGACTTACTGTATGATTTATGAAGTGAGCAGAACAAAATGAGAGGGATGGTGGGATTCCCCATGTTTCATTTATTTTGATACATTTTTGTGTATAGCAATTCAATTAATTTTAATGAGATTACAGTAATAAACATTGTGTTGCCACAAAGCTATACGGTCATTATGGCAGCACAGTAAAATCATGGCCTCTGGGGTCATATTATTGAAACTGAGCCCTTGATAATAATGTGACTGTTGTTTTTTTTAAATCTAAGAGTCTCAGTTTAGCTGTATGTTTTATAACAGTTAAGAAAAAAAGGAATAGCAAAGGTTAACTCCCCACACCTAAGGTATTTGGTAATGCAACTCCTTATAAGTAGTGACAAAGTAGATATAACCAATTTGAAAATTGTATAAACTTTAATTGGTAATTTTAACTTTGGAAAGAATTATGGTTTTCTAAATAGAGCCCGGTGTACTGTAGAATGCAGTGTATTACCACTGATTTGCTTTACAAGACATGTACAGTTCCCACAGACTGGCATATATGTTGGCCAGTAGAAAGTAAAGGTCACTATGGTAGAGATGGAGGGAAGTGAGGTGTGTGACTCCTAGGGCACAAACACCACCCTTTCATATTTTTCTCCCAGTGTCCACAGAATCTCTCTTGTCAACTGGCAAGCTGACCTGTAACAGCAAAGATTTATTTTAATACAAGATAGTGGCTAAACACTAAATTTTTCAGTACAGGGTTTTTTATTTCAGTATCATAGTTTTACCTAATGACTAACCTAATGAGAAAACCATGATAAGAAATATGAAAGAGAAGTCGATATAAATTATGTTTTTTTCTAAGAAAAAATTAATTCCACTTACAGCCCTAAGCTATTTTCCTAATAACAATAGTAGTTATGTATTGAAGAGCATATTACTGTCCAACCAGCAGCCCTCATAATCCTGGCTCTAAAGGCAGCACATCATTCAAGCGCATTGAGTGTCAGGGCAGAATATTTATAGAAGGAATGTCATCCTTCTAAGAAACTATCATTATAGCAGCATGGAAAAGTAGGGGGGGCTTCTGTCATTATAAAGGAACCGCAAATCAAAAAGTAGGGCAAAGAGGATTATGCAATTATAAGAGATTTAATGGGAGATGTAACAGTCAACTTTAAGAATTCCTTAGATCACTTTCAGAGGGCGCTTGTACTTTAGCTAACACCACTGTCTGAAATAGCTGTGACCTTTCCCTATATTTATAGAGAAGAACATGTAAAAAATAAGTTAGATTTAGTATTGATATGATAGAACAATCTTATGTACAGTACTGAATTTCTTATGCAGCTTCATTGGAACCTCCTTGATTTCACTTTATTATAATGAAGTTGGCCAGCTAGTTTTTGATTGGCAGGCACCTATGTACCCTGTGAAACATAGGCATATAAAATGAAAACAATCAATTTATAAACTGAGTTATAGGAAACCCCTTGATGTTTAAAGCATACTAACCTGAATGAAAGCTTTCTGGTTCTGTATTTGTTTCTGTTGCCTGTTGCTGAATGAGGTGTGCTCTATCACACAAAATGTAGGCAAGTTCATTTTATTTTATTTTTTTCTCTCTAAATTAGGGTGAACAGGGTCAGACAGGAACTCAAGGTCCACCAGGGCTACCGGGCCCACCTGGGCCACCTGGACCAGTGGGACCTTCAGGAGATATAGGATTGCCAGGGAATACTGGACAACCTGTAAGTCATAAATACATCTCTATAAGTTTCTCCAGGCTTACTGGCAGAGGCAGCATTTGTGGGTTTAAACTATGAGCAGGCTGTTTTTTAAAAATGTATTAACTTCAGCTTTGTGCTCTATCATATAATCATTTTGATGTAGGTGACATGATATACATTTTTCACCAGGCTACCGCCAGGAAAATTTTATTTGTGCACAGCAGTTGCTAGTTTATGGAGCGTTTCCCTAAAACCCTCAAACATAGCCATGTACAATGAGAAAATATAAAACATCTATTCAGAAATGGTTCTTAACCAAAGTGGTTAAGAACCACATTTCTATTTAATAACCTTTGTAACACAAATTGTGACAAAATAAGGTTTCCTTGCTTTGCACTTTTGATTTAAAGATCCAGACATCCATGAAAGGTGTAAATAGTTTCTATTTAGAGAGAAAGTTAAAGTTGTATATTTGTAAAGCTTACTACAGGAGAAAATAATTTTAAGTAGTTGTGAGGAATATTCTTAAATCTCAGCTTTTGCATGTATTATCAAAAAAACATAAAATATTTTGCTGAATGGCATCAATCTACTGCGCCTTCAAAGGGTTATGTTTGAAAATTTCCAGTTTATGAAACTTTCTTGCCACTGAAATTGTGTTTGTACAGTAAGCGGGAGCTAAATAACATTTATTGATAATAAAAAAAATATCACTTTAGATGCTTTAAATATTTACAAAAGATATCTATAGACATATATATGGGAATATGAAGAATTAATTTGAATCTTTTTTTTGTGAGAGAATCAGATTCTATGGACCCCTTCACAGTTTTGCATGTACTGCCCACACATGTGTTTTATGCTTTGCAACGCGTGTTAAAGTGACACAAAACTCAGGAGTTAAATCTTAAAAATCCATTGAAGTACCTTAAAGTGACATTAAACCCTCAGATTTTTTAACATAAAACAATACTGTAATGTGTGCCTTACTATAATCCACGGTAGTTTCCCTTCTCTCTCCTGCTCTTCCTTTTAAATCCTTCTCATGCTGGGGAGGACTTCCATTTTGCAACTGACTGCCTCTTCTCTGGAATGTTACATGGTGTCTGTGTGCACGCTCCTGACCTGAGCCAGACTACAGGATGACGTCCTCCCGACATCCCCGACCACTTTAGATTGGCAACAGCTGCTGCCTCCATGTGCTGTTGTTTTACTCTTTTCTGCTTTGTTTGTGTCTGAGGCAGTCAGCTGCTAAACGGAAGTTCCCCCCATCATGAGAAGAGATAAGGATTTAAAAGGAAGAGCAGCAAAGAGAAGGTAAACTACTATGGATTACAGCAAGGCACACATTACAGTATTGGTGTATGTTAAAAAATCTGAGGGTTTAATGTCACTTTAACTATTAACAAAATGTAGCTTTTTTGTGCATCAATTGACTCTGGATCCTCAAATCATCTTGAATTTGTGCTGACACTGTCCTTCCTTCTGGAGGGTGGCTAATTTTATTCATTATTGTCCCTGTGTGTGTTGTAAAGTAGCCACCGCTCCTTAAGGATTTAAAAGGAAGAGCAGCAAAGAGAAGGTAAACTACTATGGATTACAGCAAGGCACACATTACAGTATTGGTGTATGTTAAAAAATCTGAGGGTTTAATGTCACTTTAACTATTAACAAAATGTAGCTTTTTTGTGCATCAATTGACTCTGGATCCTCAAATCATCTTGAATTTGTGCTGACACTGTCCTTCCTTCTGGAGGGTGGCTAATTTTATTCATTATTGTCCCTGTGTGTGTTGTAAAGTAGCCACCGCTCCAAGCTCGCTACTGTGATGGACTGCAAATGTCAGTACAAATTCATAAACTAGATGAGAGATTCTGGTCTATCATTGGAGTGAGCTTGTGGTGGCTACTTTACAATACATATACAATACAATAGAGATGATTTGAGGATCTACAGCAGAGTGATATACAAATAAGATATATTTCTGTTAATAGTTAAGGTACTTGAATGCATTTTTAAGATTTAACTTCTGAGTTTATTGTCACTTTAAGGCAATGCATTCAGTGCCCTTAAGGTGCCCATACACTGCACGATTATCGTATGATAATCACGGGAAATCCTGCGATCGTGCGATAATCGTGCAGTGTATGGAAGGCGTGCGACAGTTTCTACTGTACGGTCGCACGGCTTTTGTATTTCGAGCATGTTCGGAAACCAGCCGAGAATCGTACGATTTTCGGCTGGGTTGAATCAAGAACGCGAGATAACTGCCGCACGGGCCGGTGTGCTCAAGCCCACACTGCCCGTTCAGTATTGCGGTCATCGCAAGCCCGCCCCTCAGCGGGGCGGGCTTGCGATGATCGCAAGTACGATCTGCCTGTCCAAGATGGGCAGATCGTACATTTTTTAAATTACTTTACAAGCCTCGCAAGACAAACGTCTTGCAAGGGTTGTAAAGTGTATGGCCACCTGGGTAATAGCTACCCAGTGCAATTCACTTAGTACTGTGTATTAATGGACATTGCTGTACATGTGAAGCCAGTCTGTATGGTGCATTTGTATGGAAAACTGCAAGAAAAATGAATGTACCTAATGTTGTATCCCATAGCTTTAGATATGTTATCATTCCTTTTCTATGTATTGTTGATTTAGTTTGTTGCAGATATGGGGGTCAAAAAATCTAATGCATCTTCTTCAGTGTTTTCATTGCTCTTTTCTTTATCAAGGCTATCATTATCCAAACACATGTGCCAGTGGCTGACACCAATGTTATTTCCTCCACTCCAGACTCTAGTTAAATACCAGGCAGAGGAAGTAACACTTTGACTTGTAATGATCCTGGTCTCAGCAGAAATTCAAACTAAAAAAAGACTCAGAGGGACTTTGATGTCCCGATCAACCATGTGCTATTCCCAGGCTGGAGAGAAGCAGTTTTAAATAAGGACTTGAACAGTTTAACAATCTGTGTATTAACATTTTCTTTTATCCCAGGGAAAAACAGGTGAGCCTGGTAAGCCTGGGAAAGATGGAAAAGATGGAAAAGTAAGTTTACCTTTTCTATTAAATATTTTTTCATTTGCAAAAGTATTGTGCTTTGTTTAGAATTGAATGTCTGTGCACGTCTAACTGGGTAATGTAATCCAAGGCAAATGAGGCACTGGCAAAAGCCACTTGTCAGCTGGTAGTTTAGGAGTATGGATCGCATATTTGCATTTTGCTATAGGACCAAAAGAAAATATTGATTCACTTTTCAGTGGGAGCTGAGCTTTTACTGCAGAGACCTGGTTTTTGTAAGTGTGTTCCATGAGATAATACATAACTATTCATTTAATTAACTAAGCTATAACAACCATTGTTTGCCGTTATCTGCAATTAGAGCCAGTGATCACCAAAAATACCAATCACATTGCTAAAAGTGACAGTCATTATAGCAAATACCCCTTGTGTTATAAGTTAGTCAATTAAGCCTCGTGAAGAGAATGCACACCATATAGAAAGAGCTATGTACAAAGTACAGTAACCTAGAATAGCCAATCAAAATGATTTTGCAATTTGACTGAACTGGCAAATCCGAGTTGCCTTATTATTTAGGCCTGCATAAAAAGGATCCTTTTGTACACATATACAATTTACGCAGATCCACAGAGAAGTGAATGTTGTGCCATTTGACTGTATGTGGCCTGGTATGGCTTTTGGGGGGAACCTCACGCACTTTATTTTTCTTTTTAACTTGGGGGGTCCCTCCTAACATTCCTACCAGACCTAAAGTGTCTGGTATCAGTTGGGGGGAAACTCATACTTTTTGGGGGGAAACTCACGCTTCTCTTCTGCAATGAATATTCGTCCAGAAACTGAATAATATCGGAAATTTGGATTCGTTTTCATTCATCATTTCTGTCTTTCAGAGATTCAGATACATCCGAATCTCTGAATTTCCGAAAATTCATTGGAATAACAAATCTTTCCAAGATGAATCGCACATGTCTACTGGCGACCATCCCAGTCAGTAAGGCAGATACAAAGTAAGAGAAGGAAAGTATTCTCTGAATATTCTCTGTGGCCATCCTTTTTAATTTGCTTGCAGTTACAGGATCATTAGTATGGTGTGGCCCTAACTTTCACTGTTCTCAGCCATCTTTAAGCAGGCTGGGTACAAAGAACAAATGCTACTAGATGTCTGGTTTAGCAGGTCCATTATTTGCATATCAGCCCATATAATTTACAGAAACATATAAAACTAAATTATTTAGAGACTACATTTACATTGACAGATTTAAACAACTTTGCCATTAGAAACAATAGAAAAGTTTACCAATCTACAGCTCTTCGTAATGTGGCATTAGATGCAAAATCTGATTGCGTGTAATGCATCAATAGGTATTTCTAAATTCAGCAATCTTCATGCAAAACTTGACACATGAAACTTATTTATCTGTTTTATATCCGGTTCTATTCATTAGGGTGAGAACATATAAACTAAGCAGTGAAGATTAATGTTTTATTCATAAGTGTATATATTATAATGAGCTATTTTCTTACTGTTACTTATATGCAATTGTTTCCTTCATCCTCAGGGTATGCCTGGACCTCAGGGACCCAAGGTAAGGAAAATGTTTATGTACACTGAATTTGTTCGAGAACAAATGTAGGTCACATGCTCTTTCATACAAACGGAAATATTGCACAGAGAGCAGAGTTTATCTCTTGCATGTCTGATCACCAGGACAACCAGCAGCCTCATTTATTGCTGTACCTCTGTCTATGTTGCCCATAGCAACTAAGAGAGAGAATGGTAAGCAGGTTATCGGTTTACATCTAGCAGGAAAGCTGCACATGGCAGTGGCAGGTTACTGCATGAAACAACCAACCAGCACTCAGACCTCAGGACCTAATAAAAACCACAAACCTTCTAATAGTAAACCAAATACCATTAAAAAAGTGCCTTTAAAAGTGTGCATAGTCTTGGTGTTATACACTGAGTGGCCAGATTATTATGACCACGTTTGAAGGCAAATTAGCTATAATTAGCTATAATTTTGTGCTGAAGTTGCTAGAGGGCCAGACCATTCTAAATAGGGAAGCAGGTTGTTTACTACGACAGCAGAAGTGATTTTTTTCTGAAGATATGGGTAAACAACGCGATTTAACAGCCTTTGAACGTGGGATGATTGTTGGCGATCGGAGCCATGGAGCGAGTATCAGCAAAACAGCAGAATTCGTTAAATGTTCAAGAGCAGCTATTGTTAAAGTGTTTAAAGACTGGACTGTCAACCGAAAATCTGGGTCTGAACGTGCGAATTGTGGCCGTCAGCTACTAGTCAATGTTAGGGCAGAACGGAGACTGGCAAGACTGGTACAAGACAACAGAAGGGCAACAGTGCTGTGTCAGATTCCTCGCATCATCTTTCAACATCTCGTGGAGTCACAAGGCGGCCCAACGAAGTCATCTCGTGGAGTCATATCGTGGCCCAACGAAGTACTGATGGGGTGGTCATAATAATCTGGCCACTCAGTGTATATTGCAACACATATATCAATCACTATACTGTGGGTAGCCTGTACCCGGCATGCTCCTTAGGTGCCCATTTGCTTTGCTCCAAATATTCCCATTCCTTTTTAATCAGCGTTGCACATTGTCTCTGTCTTTAAAATTCCTATGGGCTCCTAATGAGCTTAAATGCACCAAACTTACCTGAGACACTTTTAGCCAGCCCGATACAGGGCATATATACATTAGCTCCACCTAGTGGCCATAATGCAGTATTTACCTGATATTACAATTCTACTTGATAACAAGATATACTATTTACATAAAACAAATATATATGTAATTTTACGGGACAAATGGCTCTGCAAATTGCTTATACATATACCCCGTGGTGAGGTAACCTTTCATGATTATTATTATTGCTGCAATGTATAGGAACTATACTGCCTTAATTACTTATAAGAGGATTGTGATTTGATATAAGATAGATATGCATGTCTTGCAGGGAATTTTTTTAAGTGGTTTTCAATGTAAGTTCATATACGTTATTGCCAAAGTATATGTGCAATTAAAGTTTGGGATACTTTTATATACATGGTATTGTTTATCAATATTGACTATTGGAGACATCTCTAATTGGAGACACGTCTGTTTTTTTGACTAAATATTGCTGGAGTTGATCTCTATTACAGTATTCACATTTATAAACTATACTATTGCTAGGACACCTTGTCCCAAGATATATACATTAATACCTTGGTTCAGGAACGCTTCTGTTTGTGAACAAATCGTCTCACGAACAGAAAGTTCCGTTCGCGAAGTCCACATCAGGTGACGAACACAACCATGGCCATCTTTCCTGCTCCGACACGTGGTCGTGGCTTCCTCTAAGCGAGATTGCAGTCGCAGACAGACCTGTGAACACTTGCTGTGAAGCTTTTTTGTGTGCTTTTTAGCACATACAGTACTGTACAGTATTTGAACCTTATGGGGAAATTTGATTCGGTTTGCGACCAATTCAGTTCACACGATCAGAATCGTGGAACGAATTAAGTTCGTTAACCGAGGTACCACTGTAGTCATATTGCATGTTAAATTGGTCTAACATCTGTTCTAAGTTCTGGTCACATCTTATGTTTATTTCCACCCCTTTTCCTGGAGAAACGAAAAATTCTTAGAAGTTTATTTGTTTTGCAGGGAGAGTCGGGGACTGCAGGAATCCCAGGAAGGAAGGTAAAAAAATGATAGAGTTTAGTCCGCTCTGCTGCCATATAGGAATGTAATGTGTAACAAAACACTGAAGGATAAACAATGTTATAATGTCTGCTGATGCGTGTGAATTATCTCTGGCACACACACAGAGTAATAATAGCCGTTTTTGAAGTGTGTTTTGTTAGCTTACATGTATTCACATAATCGTTTGGATTTGAATCGTAAAGGTATTGTACACTATTGTAAGGACGTTCATTCAGGGTGTACATGTTTACTAGATATATTGATATTCAAAGGCTTTGTTTAAGCTATAAGCTACCATTGGCCATAAAAGTGATCACTCCCTGTTAATTACCATGATCAATTAATTTAACAGTTGAAAAGATTGAACATATTAAATTAGTTCCAACCTTTGCCATGACCTTCATAAAGCGATATGCAGGAGTATTATTCCTTACTGCAGCTGCATAGTTTGATGTTGGCCCATGGAGGACAGCAGAACTCTTGGTCGGTTGCTTAAGGTGGCAATACACTAGCAGATTTTTATTTTTAGAATGTCCATATGAGAAATCTTGTGAGAACATTTGATTTTAACATTCTATTTTGAATGAATACAGTTTCCTGAAAGAGAGCCTCAAATTACTAAAATGATCTGATATACATTTACCATATTTTTCATCCTGCTCCTTCCCTTTTTTTCATTGCCTCTGAAAACAGTTGCTACTTTAAACCCATGAACTATTAACTATTAGAAAATTGAACAAATGTAGACAAATTTTTTAAAGAAAATTCTACTGGTTTATAACCAGCGTTATACAGGTGGTTTGTTGTGCCAGATTGTATTCAGTGATTTGCACTTCAGTATGTCTGCATTCAGTATCATGTTTGTAGAGGTTTGTGTAAAATCCGGATAATTATAAAAAATGTCAGCCCTCCCTGCCTCTGGGGTTCACCACATGCCTTGTGATTCATTCCATGTCACAGCACTGGTACTTGGTATCTGGCCCAATGCTGGCATATAAAAGCAGAGACTCCTCATCATGTGTGAGCTCTGACTCAAGTAGCTGGGTGGACAGGGACATCTTTTCGTTCGGTAAGGGTATGTTTTGTATTTTTTTGTGTGCATGATTTAGGGGTCTATTCACTAAGCTGCCGTAGGCAGCAGAGTGAATAAACGACCCGAAGTGAAGTGAGCCAAACGCTGTTCGGCTATTCACTTCAGGCTTGTATGGCTGATTTCAGCCGTATATTGGCTGAAATCAGCCATACATCGGCTTGCTTCGTGCGGCTTCGGGTCGGCCGAACATGCTCTGAAGTGCAGAAGGAGTTCAACTCCACCGATCCAACATCTGGATCGGCTAAGCCGAACCTCCGGCAGGCTACTCGCTGCTGCTCGGCCTATTCTCATAAATGCCGAACAGCAGTGAGTGAATAGTCGAATGCCGCTGAGAATAGAAAAACTGTTTAAAAAGTAGTAAAAAATAAAATAGAAAATTATTGAGCGGGGCTAGCAGGGACTGTTTTCTGCTCCTGTCAGAATAATAAAAAAAAATCACCATAGGAATGCATAGCTAGATTCCTATTGGCTATTTCACTTTGCAATAGCCAATAGCAAACTAGCTATTGCACCCGCCCTCTGCTGCTGTCAATCACTAGCGGGAACCTGATGGGGAACTTCATGTCCCCTCTGCTGATTGACAGCAGCAGTGGGCAGGTGCAATAGCTAGTTTGCTATTGGCTATTGCAAATTGAAATAGCCAATAGGAATCTAGCTATGCATTCCTAACGGCTCCGATGTCAGAAGAGAAAAAAAAAAAAGAGCAAGGAAAGGTTTAGGTCTCGTTCACTTCTAGGTGTATTGCATATGCGTGTCTGTCGCGCGACCGTCGCGTGTTTATTTACTGCGATTCGCTGTAAAAAAAGTCGCACGACAAATGCGCATTTCCGAAGGCTACTTGGCTGTATCCCAATGGAAACGCGCAACAAAACGGCCCAAAGTAGTACATGTACCTTTTCAGGCGTGGGCCGTTTTGTAGCGCATTAGGGACGGGCGGAAATACGCCAAGGTGGGAACGAGACCATTGAATAGAATGGGATTTATATTTTTGAGCGTTTTGCAGAGCGTTCGTCGAGCGTAGAACGCGATTCAAAACGTTCAGGTGTGAACGTTGGTCTTACACTGCTCGATCGAGCAGAGTAAACCTTTCTGGGAGAAAGTGTTTCTCTCCCGGGCGGCCGGGAGCCGCATTAGACTCCCAGAGCGTTTGGGAGAGTAATGACAGATGGCGTCCCTGGTTACCAGGTAACCAGGAACGCCATCTGTCATTACACACTGAGAACACGGAGAGGCCGCTGTGATATCATACCGGCCAGCCGGGTTCTCAGTGTCTAATGACAGCGTCCCTGGTTACGCAGTAACCATTTCTCCGCAAGTGGCCAGCGCCAGCTGTAAGATGACGGCTGGCTCCGCCCAGCTGTCAGAAGCAGGCTGTCGGCCGGCCAATGGCCGGCCGCTCGGCCAGCTTTGGCTTTCACCTCGGCTCAGTCAAGCCGAGGCATATGCCTTCGGCTCGACTGAGCCGCTTGGCCAACTTCGGGAGCTGTACGGGCTATAGTGAATAGCCCGTACAGCAGCCCTTTGGTTCTAATGAACAGAAGGGGTCCTGGGGCCAAAGCTAGCCGAAGGATCAGCCGAAGCTACGCAGCTTAGTGGATAGACCCCTTAGTACTTCTAAGAGCTCATTCACATGGGTGTAAATTAACATACAGTGTAAAAACCTTCCAATACTGCTGTGCCCGGATGTGACAGGTGTTGCATACAGCTATGGGCAGCAGCCTGTACAAATCAATGAAAGGCTGTGGCTGTATGCATATGCCTGTTCATCCAATCGCTTACATCCGTACAGGGTTGGATATGTAGCTTGGACACAGACATATTTCATCCAGGGCCACTCATCCATCCCTGTACGGATGTAATCCCTCGCATGTGCAGGTATATTCATACTGCTGCAGACCACCATTGATTTGTGCAAGCTATTGCCTTCAGCTACATTCATCATCCGTCACACTCTGGTGCAGAAGTATCAGCTGATATTACACAATATGAATGATCAATAAATGTTGCAATAAATGTTGCAGTGAAGTACATTTAGGTCTGCTTTAAGATCCTTCAATACCGGACAGAATGTTTCTGGCCTGCATGTGCAGTGATTCACAGCCAGCTTGCTTCCAATAATGAGGGCTAGATTTGGGTTAATATTTACAATTAAGCTCAGATTTTAAAACTGTTAATTGTTAAGAGAATCCAGTAATTGGGGAATTTGTACACATACAAATATACAGTTAAGAACAGGCAAGGCCAGCCTAAAAAGAATGTATTATGTTACCTAGCATGTGGTATCTTATGGTTTTAAGCCATAGAACATTGACTAACTCAGGTGACACATCTCTTTCTCGGAAGAGGAAGACAATACGAGTGTGCCTCTGTTATTTTTTTGTTTTGTTTTTCAAGCAGTAGATACAGTGTTGTTCTTTACCCTTATGGAGGAAAATTTAAAATAGCAAATTACATTCTTCCATATACCCCCCTCCCCCCCTCCCGCTCACCTCTCGCTCACCTCCATGATAACATTTGTCTAGTGCTTGGTTGAATCACAGTCTTATTCCAGTAGTCACTGATGCTGCATGCTACAGCCCTGCAGTGCTTTGAGCTGCTGCCATTTGAGCCCTACTGTGTGGATGCAAGTGCCAACAATAGACGTAAATGTAACACTTTTTTCCTGCAACATATCCAAAAATGAAGGGTGGGGGAAGGGGGGCTAAGGAAAGATGTATTTATTATGTCAGCTATCCTTTGAAGACAGATACTCCTGGAGATTCCTGTACTGTCAAGATAATTTTAGGTATATTACTTCAGGCTACAATTAAAGTATTAGGTGAGCCTCCAACAAGTAGCATATTTATAAGTACTTTATCATTAGCCCTATTTAGAGATCCATGACCCCACATGGGGCCAAAAAATAATTTTGGCCTTGTGACCACCCATGCTTACATCCTCTTTTTCCTGTTCTGGCAGTGGGCAAGCTTTAATGATACCCCTACACCACCTCTCCTTTTTTCATTGTTAGCAATATATCTTTGAGGACATAACCTGTGTAATGAAAGATGAGGTGACATTTCCACTAAGCTTATCAGGGAAATACCGGTACAAATGCAATGGGCTGACAAGGCTACCAGTTCAGCAGTAGGACTGCAAGGTTACCGGGACCACAACAAGAGAACTGGCACAAGTTAAAAAGAAAGGGACATTAAAGATAACAGAAAATTGTATACTTACTTTTGGTAATTTTATTTTCTGACACATATGCATGGCAGAATAGATTAGTATGCCGCCATGCGTGTGTCAGGAAAACAGAAAATGTATGTCAGCATACATTTAACATAACAATAGCATAACAATATGCTACCAATTTTAGGGAAATGTTGTATTTAGCCTGGATTTCCACTTTAACCATTTCAAGGTTAATCCCATAGCTCTCGAGAGCAAACCTGTCATGAAGCAAACATGGAGGCTACCAGTGCTAACCTCTTCTTTTGAAAATGCTGGTTACCCCCTTGTCATGGAAACCCACTTGCTTGAATATTTTGATTCAGTCACCCACGCAGTGGCGTAACCAGAGTTCTGGGCGCCCGGGGCAGAAATTTTTTTTCGCTCCCCCCCCCATTATGTAAACAACCACTGGAACTGTACCCTGCACCTCCCCCCCCACACACACACACATGTTTTTATTTTAATTTTTCAAATTTTAATATTTTATTTTTTTAGAAACTTTTTCATTTTTTAAAATTAATTTTTATTTATTAATTAATTTTTTATTAAATATTTTTATTTTTTACTTTACTTTTAGGGGCTTCGGGGAAATATTGGGGGTCTAAACAGACCCCTAATATTTCCCTTTAAAAATAGAAAAAGAGATTGAGGACACAGAGTCCTCAATCTCTTTTTCTGTGTCCCCTGTTAT